TCCATGCGTACCTGTTAAATAAACTACCATTTGGTGAGAGAATTCCAAAATGAATCTTCATGCACCCTATTAATTTCAATTTAGCACAGACTCTTGTGACATATCTAAAGAAATGCTTCCAACACTAAGTACCTTGATCTACTACTTACCTATCACTCTATCATGTGAATTCATTAGGCAAGCTCAGAACATCTTTTAAAAAAGAAGAATCGGGCTTAATATTGCAGCTTTCCTGCTATTTGTCCCAAGATACTTCTACGAGTTGATTGATGAAGCCCTTTAAAGCACAAGCTCACCATCTTTAATGGAGGAAGGGCTCTACTTGCTGCCATTCCCCATGAGTCACAGTTAAAGGCAGGAATCTTAAAAAGAAGTTCTGCCCTGGAACAACATGCACACTGAGCCCTCACCTTCCCCAAGCCAGCAATAATCTTGGAGGATATAAGCAGAGAATTAGGAAGTGTCCCACGAAAGCAAGACAACGTCCGTGACAAAGCAACCAAGTATCCAGGAGAAAAAAATCAAATAAACTGATTATCCGGTACTCTCTCTCAAAATAAATAAACTTTAAAAAATAAATAAATAAAATACATAGTGACTACCTCAAAAAGTACAAAGCACTTAGCAGATTTCTATTAAATTCACCTTCACATAACATCAGTGAAAAATTCTTTTTTTCATTTTTTTTTTAATATTTATTTATTTTTGAGAGAGAGAGAATATAAGCAGGGAAGGGACAGAGAGAGAGACACAGAATGTGAAGCAGACTCCAGACTCTGAGCTGTCAGCACAGAACCCAAGGCGGGGCTCGAACCCACAAACTGTGAGATCATGACCTGAGCCGAAGTCAGATGTTCAACCAACTGAGCCACCCAGGGGCCCCTAAAATTCTTTTTTGAAAAAATTATTTATTTTGAAAGAGAGAGAGAGAGAGAGAGAGAACAGGGGAGGGGTAGAGAAAGAGGGGAGAGAGAATCCCAATCAGGCTCCGCAGTGTCAGAGTGGAGCCAGACACGGGGCTTGAACTCATGAACCATGAGTTCATGACCTGAGCTGAAACCAAGAGTCAGATGCTGAACTGACTGAGCCACCCAGGCGCCCCAATGTGAAATTCTCTTAATTTGCTATCCAGTGATTCAACAAATACTTGTCAAATAATTACCAGTTATATAGCAATGAACTGAGTACTGGAAAAGAATATGAGAATGAATTTTTTTTAATTACCTATACACAGAGAGAATCTAGTATTTATCCTCAAGAGGCTTACAATGTAAGTGAGCAGCTGAGACATACACAGGTGGGAAAAAAATGTAGGGTGCAATATAAAAATAAGCACTAAATGGTCAGAATGCTGTATAGATGTTCTGAGGAGGGAGAAATCAGAAATTAGTTCAGGAAGAAGTGGATAAGGAAGATGTCACAAAGTAGGCAGAATTAAGTTGAAACTTGTAAGATAAAATGGCTAAGACACCTTACAAAAGAACCCCATTACTTCCCCCATTTTCAGAGCCAGAAATATGGGAATTACACCAGCTCCTCCCTGTCACCTCCCAGTGCTCCTGACAAATGCGTTCCCTTCTCTCCTCCCCGCTGGCGCCAGAATGACACAGGCTCTGACAGAGACATCTCCTAAGTGGCCCTGCAAGCTACTCCACCTGCTTTCCACCTGCCAAAGTCATTTATCTAAAATGCAAAGCTCATCCTTTGATACCTCTCCTCCCTTAAAATTTTTCAATATCTCTATCAGGGAAAAACCCAAACTCCTGAACACAACATAGGAATCTTTCGTGACCAGCTTCCCACTACTTCACTGGCCTCATTCCGCCCCAGCTAACAGCTCAGTGTGGCTCTCTCATCTGTAGGCCTCCTGCCTGCAAGGTCTTTGCCCTATTCTTTGCCCCATTAATTCCTCCTGGTATCTACCCCCACCCTATAACTCTACCTTTGAACATTTCAATCCAAAAGAAAAATCAAGAGAATAGTATAATAAACACGTGCCCTTCATCTAGCTTCATCAGTTGTTACCCTTACTTGCCACATTCGTTTTGTCTCTCTCGGAACCATCTGAAAGTTACAGACATCCTTACACCTAGCCCCTAAAACTCCAGCAAGTATCTCTTAAAAAACAAGAACAATCTTCTACATAAACATTCAACAGCATAACCCACAGTATCCCAAATATTTAATATCAACACACTATCTAATATGTAATCCAGGGGCGCCTGGGTGGCGCAGTCGGTTAAGCGTCCGACTTCAGCCAGGTCACGATCTCGCGGTCTGTGAGTTCGAGCCCCGCGTCAGGCTCTGGGCTGATGGCTCAGAGCCTGGAGCCTGTTTCCCTCCGATTCTGTGTCTCCCTCTCTCTCTGACCCTCCCCCGTTCATGCTCTGTCTCTCTCTGTCCCAAAAATAAATAAAGGTTGAAAAAAAAAATTTTAATATGTAATCCATATTCAAATTTTCCCATTTATTCCAAAACGTCTTTTACAGTTTATTTGTTTAATCCAGGATCAAACCAAGGATCATCCATTGCATTTGGTGTTCACGTTCCCCTTTATCTTTCGGGATTTATTTCTGGAATCGCTTTCTCCGGGAAGCCCTCTTTGCCTCCTCCTACCCAGTCCGGACCTCACACCACCACTATATGGTATCATTATACTATCATTTCCCTTATTAAACAATAAGCTCCTTGAGGACTTTTTTTTTTTTTAACGTTTTTTAATTTTTGAGAGAGAGAGCGCAAGCAGGGGAGGAGCAGAGAGAGAGGGAGACACAGAATCCGAAGCAGACTCCAGGCTCTGAGCTGTTAGCACAAAGCTCAATGCAGGGCTTGAACTCACTGACCGTGAGATCATGACCTGAGCGGAAGTTGACGGCTTAACGGACTGAGCCACCCAGGTGCCCCCCTTGAGGACTTTTTATTCTCTAGGCCCATATTGTCTGGCTCACAGAAGACACTCCATAAACACTGACTGACTGAACGAAAGAGCTACAAACAGGAAATATGACTGTTATGGACTGAAATGTGTCCCAAAATTCCTGTGTTGAAACTCTAACCAGCAGTGTGACTGTATTTGGAGAGAAGGCCTTTAAGGAAGTAACTGAAGTTAAATGAGGGCATAAGGATGGGGATCTAATCCGGGAGGACTGGTGTCCTTATAGGAAGAGGAAAGAAAGCAGGAGTGTGCACACCCAGAGGAGAAAGGCCACGTGAGGACAGAGCAAGCCAAGACGGCAGCTTCACCAGAAACCAACCCTGCTGGCATCTTAACCTTGGACTTCCAGCCTCTGGAACTGTGAGACGATACACTTCTGTGTTGCTGTTGTTGTTGCTCTTGTTTTTATTGCTCATCCTGATTCTAATTATTATCCTTTCTTTTTCTTTTTCTTTTTCTTTTATTTTTACATTTCTGTTAAGTCACCCAGTCTGTGGTACTCTGTTACGGCAGCCTGAGCAGACTAGCACAATGAGCAAAAGCTCTGTGCCCACAGTTACTATGGATGACGGGATGCGAAACAAAACCTCTATCACTGCCTGAACAAAGATACACACAGAAGACTTCTTCCTCCTGCTTCTGGAAAAGTGAACCCCACACGCCACAAAACAAATGACAGAAAGCACCATTCTGACATTCACAACACACGTAAAAACACCCAAATGGATCTTCAAGAGCACAAGCAGCAAACTGTTAGTATCAACCACTCCGGGGCTATCCAATCAGAAGGTAAAGAAAGCGGTCAGAAATATGTTAAGAGCGTAGAGTACACAGCAAAAGGAAATCTTTCACAGAGCCTAGAATATAATTACAGACTCCCCTTCCTAGCTTTTGCTAAGACGTCTGCTGCTGAGTTGCTCGCATCACATGTGTTTCACCTCCTCCCCCTTGCAGACCGTGAAGACGATGACAAAGGCCATGCTGTCAACAGGTAGTGGCAGCGGTTTGGATCACTAACAACACCAGGTATGGCGTTATGGTCCCAGCACACTCTTCATAACTGCTGGCACATGGATCAGCACGGACAACCGACCCAACTTGTAACCATCCATCATTCGAGTGTCAACAAAACAGACTGATCCTTAGGCTCTTTCCCAAATGTGCTTTTTCATGTTGACCTTTCACGGTTACCATCTTTCATGCTTGGAAAAATGATTCAACCGATGAGCTTGCTACTTTTCACTCACCAGCAAGCCAAGATTTTAGTGACAAATAAAAGCGCATTTTACAATTTAAATAAAATCATCAGTGTTCGCAGTTATTTTTATTTCAACATTAAGAAAGTTGGAAAACTGAAAATCCGACCAAATTCTACACCTACTTTGTTCTTACTACAATGCCCAGAAGAGAACATAGATCCACTAAATAATTCTCTCCAAACAGCTTACTTACGATGTTACTGTTTGAAATCTGTTTTAGTGAATAACATAATGAGAGTACTTCCATACCCTGAACTTCTGAAGAACCAGGTTCAAAACAAGCGAAGTGGTTGTTAGATGCATTTCAAAATCTTGATCATACTTAGGACCCAACAAGCAGCTGCTATTATTTTAAGGTATTATTGAATCTGAAATTTTTTTTTTTATTGAATCTAAAACAAGGTGCTGAAAACGCTGAAGTCATTACAGGATTTTATTTGTGCACTTGTTTTTCAAATAAGAATTAGACCGGGGCGCCTGGGTGGCGCAGTCAGTTAAGCGTCCGACTTCAGCCAGGTCATGATCTCGCGGTCCGTGAGTTCGAGCCCCGCGTCGGGCTCTGGGCTGATGGCTCAGAGCCTGGAGCCTGTTTCCGATTCTGTGTCTCCCTCTCTCTCTGCCCCTCCCCCGTTCATGCTCTGTCTCTCTCTGTCCCAAAAATAAATAAACGTTGAAAAAAAAATTTTTTTAAAAAACAAATAAGAATTAGACCAAAAGAAAAGGAAATAGGAACATAAACACAACTGGCTACTTATGCACAAATATATACATACGTGCAGGGTTCTACTCTAAACAGCATCATTTACCTTCTGCCCTTCTCACAGAGCTTCTCAATTTCAGCTTTCAGATCCTGCTCCTTCTGCAAAAACTCCTTCTTTTCTTTCTCTATCTTCTTTTTTGTTTCTTCTCGCTTTATTGTTACATCCTGGATAGCCTTCAATATCTCCTGAGTCCCCCATAATTACAGCCACACACAAATAAAGAAGGAAACAAATCAGTTCTTTTGGTCTGAAGGTTATTCTTAACTAACACAAATTAACACATTGACTTTAGTAAATTCAACTTGAACTGAAGGAATCTGGTTCATGAGTGGCTCAGAAAGCCAGTATTTAGATGTAAGAAAGTTACAATAAAGTAGATTTCAACTCAGTAGGACAAAGAATTTCTAACAATCCCTACTGTTCAAAAATGGAATTTACTGCCTTCTGAGGGAATAACCTCTCCATTACTCGTGTTTGGGTAAAGGCTGAATGAACACCTGAAAAGAATGCCTGTACATGTACACATACATACATACATACATGTATGTATACATTTGTAGTAAGAAATCAAATAATAAAAAAGTGATAGGTCACTCCCTGTCCACCCCAATTCCACCCATAAGCAACATGATGTTGGAGCAGGCTTTCACATCTCTCTCTGTTCTTACACAAACACATGTATACTTAAATATGTATTTCTTTGCTTTTGTGTTTTTTCCAAATGAGAGGATTTTATACATGTTATTTGCCATCCTTTTTTCCACTTGATGTAAACACAATGTCAATATAGATTTAACTTAAAAATAGCTGCATAAGACATAATATGTATATATCCAATTTATCCAACCATCTAAGAGTCCATTAAGTTGATTCCAGTTTTTTTGGTAACTACACACCATACTGCAATAAATACTCTATGTCTACGTTTTCATATAAAAACGTTTATTTCTGTAGAACAGACTTAATAATACGATCGCTAGGTCAAAGAACATTTAAGTTTTAACTGATAATTTTTTTTAATTAAAAAAAAATTTTTTAATGTTTATTTTTAAGAGAGAGAAACAGAGTGTGAAAACGGAAAGGCAGAGAGAGAGGGAGACACAGAATCCAAGCAGGCTCCAGGCTCAGACCTGTCAGCACAGAGCCCGACACGGGGCTCGAACCCACAAGCTACTGAGATCATGACCTGAGCTAAGTCGGGTGCCGAACCGACTGAGCCATCTAGGTGCCCCCTAACTGATGATTCTTAACAACTTTTCCAAAAAGGCTGTAACAATGCATACATCTACAAATGTCTGAAAAGAGTTCATTTTTCCTCACCCTGACAATTTATTTCATTTTTACCAATCTCTTGAGGGGAGAGAGAGGAATGGTATCTAATAATTTTAGGGAGCATTTTCCTAACTCCCATCCTTTACTGTTTTTAATGTCTGCTTCCTCCAACTCAAAGAAGCATTCAATGCAGAGACTATGTTTTCTTTACCATTAAATCTGCAGAGCTCAGATCAGGAACTCAGAAAATGCTGAGTGAATGAATGAATGAATGAATGAATACCAGTGAGGTTGGGCTTCTTTTCATATGTTTATTATCCACTTGCTTTTTCTCTTCTGTGAATTGCCATTTATAATTGCTGTAGGCAAAATAATAGCCCACCCCCCCCCCCCAAAATATGTCCACATGGTCATCTAATCAAATCTAACCTAATCCCTGGGACCTGCAAATATGCTACCTTCCATGGGAACAGACACTATGCAGGTGTGACTAAGGTAAAGACCTGGATATGGGGAGATAATCCTGGGTCATCTGGATACAGCCAACCTAATCATGCAGGTCTTTAAAAGTGGAAAACCCTTCCCAGGTGTGATCAGATGAATATGTGACTAGGGAAGAATGGTCAGAGATGGAAATCTGCTGACTTGGAGGATGGAGAATGGCGCCACAAGTCAAGGAACGCAAGCAGCCTCTAGAAGCTAGAAATGCAGAGAGAGGTACTCTCCCCAAGTCCCCAGAAAGGGATACAACCCTGCCAATACTTGGATTTTAGCCCAGTGACACCCAGGTTGGACTTCTGGCCTATAGTACTGTGAGGTAATAAATGTGGGTCATGTTCAGCTGCCAAATTCACGGTAATTTGTCACAGGAGCAATAGGAAGCTATACAATAACCTTTCCTGATTTTTCTCTAGATTATCTGACTTTTACCATGAATGTGTAAGAGTCTCAGAACACAGATATGGATATTAAACTGTTCATCAGGTGTGCCACAAACATTTTCCCAGTCTGACATTGATCTTCTGACTGGTTTTTGTATCATGTGCCCTATCAAAAGTTTTAAATTACATATAATACAGTTGGTTCATTTTCTTATGGCTTCTGGGTTTTCTGCCTGGCTTAAAATGACCTCTTGCAACTTGAGGTTTCATAAATATGCTCCTAAACTTTCTTCTAATTTATATTTTTTCCAGTTTTCACACATAGAGTTTTAATCTACCTAGAATTGTATGTTTTAATGTAACATAAGAGTCTAATCACGTGGTTTTCCAGGTAAACAGTCAACTGTGTCATCAAAATATGTTAAGTAAATAACTTTTTTCTCTGAACTAAAATACTAGTGGGAGCTTGAACAAGATGCCTTCAGAAATTCTTTTGATCCCTAAAATTCTAAGACAACCGTTAAAAGATAAATACTGCCCTTCTATTTCTATTAATTCAGAAACAAAATTAAAGTTTGATTAGGAAGTATAGCTTTACTTACTGACAATTTTAATAAACAGAATACCTGGTGATTCTTCATTTCTTCTTCCCTCCTTTGCTGAAGTTGTTTTAACTGCACTTGGAGCTGATTCTCCACTTGCCTCTGCTTGTCCAGGACCTCCTGGTAACGTTCCTTCAACAGGGTTCTCTCCGTCATCATTTTGTCCTATTTGTAACAAGAGAAGGAAAGTGTAATTCCCTGATCTAACTGCAAAAAAACATTCACCAGATGCCCGTTCAAGGCATTGTGCAGAGCCCTAGGATGTGCAATCCAATATTCTAACTGCTGGCTGGCCACGTGTGGCTTTATAAATTAAAATCATTTAAGATAAGAGAATTTAAAAATACGGCCCCTCAGTAACCTAGCCACCCACATTCCAAGTACTGGGTAGCCACAAATAACAAAAGGCTACCATACTAGATGGCACAAGATACAAGACATTTCCATCATTACAGGACATTCTATCGCACAACACTTCGCTAAGGCAGGGTCTGGCAATGTATGGCCTGTGGGCCAAATGCAGCCACTGTCTGCTTTTATAAATAAGTTTTATAGGAACTACCCACATGGCTTACAAGTTGCTTTTATACTACAATGAATGGAATGGTTACAACAGAACCCATAGAGCCCCCAAAACTAAGACATTTACCATCAGACATTTTACAGAAAAGTTTGGCAATCGCTGCTCTAGGGAATAAGAGGAAGCAGGCATTTTATCAGAGCAAGAAGAAATGAATGGGCAAAGACCAAAAAACAGATCACCTACTCAAGAATGCATCCAGAAAATAGGATTCCTTACTGGTCACTAGTGCTAAAAATGGACAGATCCACTAAAGGGGTCTGAGGAACACGGTATTCAGATTGGGCCAATCAATAAACTCTCACGTAATGGAGTAGAAGTTAAGGCTTCTGAGAACTGCAGTGTTCTGCCTCCCCACACCCATAAATCAAGAAAAGTGATGGTGACCTTTCAAAGGGACACTAAAACTTAAAAGACGGTCAATTTAAAACAGATTTGGTGTAAGGCAGCCCATGTAAAATTTAAACTAAGAGGATTCAACTGAACTTGTTCATTAAAACATAACTCTTTTTGGGCACTGGGTAGCTCAATCAGTTAAGCATCTGACTTCAGCTCAGGGCATGATCTTGTGGAGGTTCATGGGTTGAGCCCTGCATCAGGCTCTCTGCCGTCAGCACAGAGTCTGCTACAGATCCTCTGCCCGCCCCCACCCCACCCCTTCCCCACTTGCGCACGCACTCTCTCTCTCTCCTTCTGTCTCTCAAAAATAAACCTTACGGGG